CCCCCGAACTCACCTTCGGACCCTACTACGTCACGGGCGAAATGATCCGAAAAAACGTAGTCGAAGACCAAAAGGGCATAGACCTCTACCTCGAAGTGCAATACGTCGACATCACCACCTGCGAGCCCGTCCCCCACCTCTACGTCGACATATGGAACACCAACGCTACGGGGTACTACAGCGGCGTTGAAAACGGGCAAGGCGGGCTAAACACCACCTTTCTGCGCGGCGTCCAAATAACTGATGCCGATGGCGTCGTAGCGTTCGAAACCTTGTTTCCAGGCCATTACACCGATCGCGCAACACACACGCACCTTCTCGTCAAGTCTAATGTAACTGTCCGCTCAAACGGCACCACGGGCGCCGATGGCACTATCGCACATGCCGGTCAGATTTTCTATCCTGAAGACCTCAAGGCTGAGGTTGAAGCTACGGAACCTTATATCTTCAGCACGCAGCCGTATATCACCAACGACAACGATTTCCTGTCGGTTGTGCAGGCTGATGACGATTTTGATCCGTTTCCTCAGTACGTGTATCTGGGTGACCGCGTCGAGGATGGGTTGATGGCTTGGATTCAGATTGGGATTAATACTACGGCTGATCATAATGATGATCAGATGTTTGGTGTTGCTGCGGATTATCAGGCGGGTGGTGGTGTTGCGAATCAGAATCAGACGGGTGCGGATTTGATTGGTGGGCCGGGTGCTAATGGGACTACGTCGTCGGGTGCTGTTTCCTCTGGGGCTACCCCAGGGGCTGTTTGAGACTTCATTATGGTGACTACTTGCATATTCGTTCTTGTACTTTCTTTGTAGAAGCCCCGTTCTAAGTACATAGATGCATTCACACTATCCACGCATCTGTGTCGTTCAAAACACTCTTGACGCCAGCCCATTTACATACTCGCTTTTCCCCTACTCTCGAAAGGCAGTATAAGCACCAAGATACCCGCAGCGATAAACAACGCCCCACTAACATAAACTGGCGCACTGGTCTCCAAATCCGCAAACATCGCCACTATAGGCGCCATAATACCAAACACCCTGTTCGCACTCGCCGTAATAGCATTGCCTGTACCGCGATCTTTGGTCGGAAAGATCTCAGGCGTATACGCATACAAGACCGCATACATGATGTTACTCATGAAGTTGTAGGCGCAGTTCCATCCTAAGAGGGCGTTGGAAGTGAGCGCCGTTGTGGAACATAAGAGAAAGACGCCAGTGAGGACTGTAGAGAGGGCTAGTGTGCCTTTGCGACCGACATGCGGTGTTTCGACGAGTACTGCGCCGAGGATGCATCCTGGTACGCCAAGCACGGCGATGATGAGACTGTTGCGGTAGGTGATGTACGTCGAGCCGTCACCGAAATCGGCGCCGCGGGTGGCTTGGATGTAGGGTAGGAAGGCGTTGTAGAGGGGGTAGCCGAGGCCGATGAATGCCCAGACGAGTGTGATGGTGCTAGTTGAGAAGGCTAGTTTCTTGGTCGCGAAAAGGGCTTTGACGTGCGAGCTATCTAGCTTCTGAAGCTTGCGTTTGACAGCTGCGGAGGCAGTGCTGGTTTGTTGGACGGTACCAGGGAGGGCGAAGTTATTGCATGATTCTAATTCTTCAAGTGTGAGGGTGCATTCTTTTCTGTTTCGGCGCGCGACTTCGTGGACGATGCGGACGGCGTCTGCGTCTCGGCCTTTGCCCATCAGGAATTTGGGGGACTCGAAGATTGTGAAGAAGACGAAGCGGCCAATGAACATTAGGAGAGCGACGCCTCCCATGACCTTTGGAAAATATTAGCAGATACTTCCAACAATGTAAAACTCAGTACTCACGATCATGAAGTACCGCCATCCCATATTTTCTCCTCTCGTGCAGTTTGTATCCGTCTGCTGACAGGTGAGGTTTCCAAGCAACGGCCATGCTACAAGCGTGGCAAAGACTTGCGCGAGCGCCCAGTAGATCGACAAAATCGTAAGCAGATACTGATGGCTCCCAGGCAAGAACTCCAGGAAAATCGCTGAATCCACAGGCAGGTTTCCGCCCACACCAACAGACCAAAGAGCCGCGAACGTGCCAATAGCACCGAAATTGGGGCTACTCGCTGCTATCATTCCGAACACAGCCGTGATACCAATAGTGAGGTTGAATGCCCATCGTCTTCCGAAGATGTCGCAGCCAAATCCCCAGAAGACGGCGCCGAAAAGAAGTCCGATGTTTTGTGAGAGGGAGAGCAGCGGTGGGCGTGTGGGGTTGAATTCGTTGGTGATGGGTGTAAAAATTAGGGATGTTACTATCGGCCAGAGATTGTCCATTGCCCAGCCAAATCCAATCACAATGAAGAGCTGGAGGAGGTCAGTTTGTTGGACTGGAGTGTATCGAGATGAAGGACGAGTATGGGGGAAAGGTTTCTTGTGTGAAGTATGTTCACGATAGATGTGGGAGTAACGATGAGATAAGTACTCACCTGCCATTGATACCTCCCCATACCTATATCCTGCATGGCCTTGTTGAGCATCTTCGCTTTGGCTTCGTACACGGGGTCCAACGACCCATCTTCCAAAACGCTCACCGGCGCTTCTCCATCTCTTGCAACGGTTTGCGCCGAGGGTTCCTTGTAACCGTGCGATTCATCCATTTTTACTGGCGATTCGGCCATGATTTCTTTTCGCCCTTCGAAGCCGGCTGCGAGCGCAAAGAATGTAAGAGTGGAGGTTAAGCTAGATCGCAGTAAACACAGACAGCCGGGTCAAGTCAAGGTAACAGGTGGCGAGGCACAACAGGCATTAGCGTCGCTAAAGAACTTAGTGAATGGAGGATCTTTAACGGAATAGTATTTGATTGAACCAGTGGGTTGGGAAACTGCATGGTTAGTGTGACGACTTATAATGTTCCTTGTCGCGCAATCGGGCTTCCCGCTCGCGCAATACCATGCGGAGGAAGGTACCACCACCACGATGGGCGGGGTATCTCCAGGGCGAACGCCATGGTAGTACTGCGTCCACAACTCTGGTCCACACACGCGATAAGGGATTGAAGCCGTTGCGACTGTCCTGTGGTAGGCGATAAGCGATGTCAAGATGGTTACGATCTGCAGTGCATGCGAGGTGGTGTGGGAGATGGCGGGCTAGGTTCTGACGGGAGTTACTCCGCGCTAGTATGACGTGCCGTCACACTTGAGCTGACCATGCGAGATCCACGTCGACCATATTAGGAATCTTGAAGGTCGGTAGTCATTATTTGTTTGTACCAAGAATCTACACGTCTATGTTTGGTGTACATAATCTCGACGTAAACACCAGCAATACATAATGCAGGCCAGCGCAGTAGCATAACCACGTACCATGGTCTACTTCCACAGCTTGCTCAAACTGGTCGCCTTGTCGTCGTGCTTGTTCAGCACCTTTGCAGTCGCCAGATCGAAGTCCTCCTGTGTGACGTGCACTCTCCTCTCCCTGAGGGCGTACATACCAGCCTCAGTGCACACACCCTTCAGCTCAGCACCTGAACATCCGTTCATCTTCTCCGCGACCTTTGTCAGGTTGATACCACGCGTCAAGTTCATGCTCCTAGAGTGAATGCGCAGAATGTCGGCACGCGCCTCGACGGTTGGCGGTGGGAACTCGATCTTTCGGTCGATACGTCCGGGTCGCAGAAGGGCGGGGTCTAGGATGTCCAGTCGGTTGGTCGCCATGATGATCTTGATGTTCTTGGTTGGCTCGAAACCATCCAGCTGGTTCAGCAACTCCAACATAGTTCGCTGGACCTCTGAATCACCACCTGAGCTTCCCTCCACTCGACTTGATCCAATGCTGTCAATCTCGTCCATGAAGATAATGCTGGGTGCGTGTTCTCGTGCCATGACGAAGAGTTCACGTACCATGCGGCTACCCTCACCAATGTACTTCTGTACCAACTCGCTACCAGACACTCGAATGAACTTGCAGTCAGCGTGATGTGCGACCGCACGTGCAAGCAGTGTCTTTCCTGTTCCAGGAGGACCGTATAGCAGAACACCCTTGGGCTGAGCGATACCGAGCGATTCGAAGAGTTCGGGATGTTGCAGACCCAGCTCGATGACTTCCTTGATCTCCTTGATCTGCTGATCCAGACCACCAATCATGTCGTATGTGCTGTCGGGCACCTTCTCGACCATCATGAGGGAGACGAGGGGATCGACGGACGAGGGAAGGAGCTTCTCGAGCTTGTAGGAGTCACTGAGGAGAGTGACGCGCTTTCCGGCGGTGAGTTTGCTGATATCTACGCTGTCCGCGACATCGACGACTGCCTTGATTAGTCTTGATCCCATCTATGCTTAAAGTGATACATACCATATTTGCCCTCGGGGTGGACCTTCACAAGCACCTTCTTGGTACCCATGACCTTTACCACCTCTCCGACGTATGATCCCGGTTGCTGTAGAAGGCCGAGCTCTTCTCGCAATAACCGTACTCTTGAGTTGTAGTCATTGCGCTGGGCTTCAAGTCGTCGTAGCTTGGCCTGTCCCTGTATGATCTCGAGCTTCATCGTCTCGATCTTGTTGTGGAAGAAGGTGTCGAGCGCCATGGCTGTGGCGGGCGCCGGCGGCGATGTTTAGGCTAGGGTTTTGTTTGGGGCAGGGTTGAATGCAAGGAAGTCGTGTAGTGAGCGACGGCGAAGACGGTGGAGTAAAGGTTGCGGGTGAGATAGCGATGGCGACTGGTGCACCTTGGTGTTGACGCCCGTGACGGCGTGGAAGCTTCCGAAGCTGGCCATTGTCGGATTAAGGTTACGCCGGGCCACTAGCGCATACGCGTTGGAGGAAGGAGCACACGCGCCGACAGGTCTTACCACAGCAACGTTTTTCACCGACTCTCAATCATACATTGATTATTCACATTTGCATTTCCTGCATTATTGCACAGTCGACAGATTCTCGTAAGAAAACACACGATTATCAGCATGATCCGCTTCTGGCATCGCCGAAGGCCACACAGCCACCAACTCCAAATCTCCATCCGTCCTAACGCCTCACGTCTTCCTTAACGCGTGCTTACTGGTCTCTGTCGCGATGGTACTGCGATCTTACTTTGCCGGTCGAGCATCATCGAGAATATGTCCCGCGATATAGGGTAGTTGACCTGGCAACTCTGGTCTTCAGCTACGTTGTCCTGGATCTTGAGACGATCTATGTCTTTCCACATATCCTGTTCGAGAGCAGCATTCACTTGCAGAGCCTGGTTCCGCGCTGTGTTCCGCGTGATGATGCGCTCGGTCTTGACCGGCAACTCGCGAGGTGATATTTCGGAATCATCAACGAGCGTCTCGTCTCCGCTATCTTCGCCATCGCCATTGATCTCCTTGTCAAGAGCTCTGAGATCTGCAAGAGTCAATGGCATCGTGCCATCATCTACGACTGTCAGTTGAAGTGGACAGGTTACGGTGGCGCAGAACTTACTTGATGGACTTCGGCCCTTCAACAATCGTGCAATTCGTAACCCCTCGCAGTTGGGAACACGCTCCCTCAAGAAAGCGTCTATTCGCTTTATAACTTCCGCATTGACTACGGCCTCCTTTCCAATAGTACGTATTACTCCGATGTGGGCGACCTGGATGCGCAAAATAAGCAGGGTCTTGACTTGGACCAGCTCATCCATGATGGAACCAAGCTTCTTCTCATCCGCTGAGCCATGGACCAGCTGACGCGCTAATTGGTTGACCTTGCTTGCCGTCTTGGGGTCGAGCGTCTCAAGCAATTCGGCCAACTTGTTCTGCACAGCTTGAAGTCGGACGAGCTCGGTAGCAACAGTAGGGATTTGCAGGTCCTCTTCATCGTCTATTATACCGATGATCGTCTTGATACTCTCGAGCTCGCTACGGTGTCGAGCCAAGACTTCAGCAAGAGCTTTCTGACGAGCGTTTGCCCTGCGTAGGCGATCGAAGATTCGGAAGGCTTGCTCCACAAGTTGTGTGGTAGCTTGGATCGCGGCGAAAACAGCCAGTACTTCAGCCTGTTACGACACTTCAGCTGGGCCTTCCTGAAGGAGCAGTGTACTTACCATGGTCTTTAGTGGAAAGATTGCGCTGTTGCAGAAGAAGAGATTATCACGGCTTGCGCTGACAGATCAAAGGGCGCAATACCGCACTTATCTTCAGCTGAACTTATCCGGACCACCTTTGGGGCGCAGTGTCAGTTGTGAGTCGACCGTGATTGCGGTTGGTCCGGTGAAGTTCGCATCATGCATGCATGCGAGATCGCAGCCAGTGATTCGCCATCGCGAAGCGACCTGCAGCCATAAATGCACCCCAAAAGCAACTCATGTTCGCGCTGTATCGGCGTCCAATGGGGTCGACGATCTTTTTGCGGGGTGTGGTCACAGGCTGACAGTACTCGCACACGATGCCACGTCCTGCCAGGGTTCGAGACGGCAGAAGGGTGTGGGTTGTGCGCAGATCGAATTGCCGATTTTGTTTCTTCCCATGTCCGTTCAGCGCAGGACCGAGCCAGTACCGAAGAGGAGATCAAACCGGCCTTGCTTGACAACGAAGAATCGATACACGACAAAGGCGTCTTTCCCTTCCTGCGAGTGACAAGCGAGCTCGACATATTCGTTTGTGGACGGCAGGTGGATGCGACTCGAGGCAGTCTCTACTGTGGACGTTGAGGCTTTGTACACTGTAAGGCCAAGTCGGCGTACAATCTTGTGCGCGATGAAGTTGTTGGCCATGGTTGGCCGGAATATGGCGCGAACAAAGTGTCGGCTGTCGCTCGTGCAGGATTCGAGCATCAAATTCTGTCCTTGCAGGACTGATGGGTCAGAAGCGCTCTTCTGCTCGTTGTCAGCCGCCACCCTGCACCAAGTCGCGCGACGTTCTTTGCTTACTGGAACTTGTGCAGAGAACTTCGCGGATACTCTGGATGAAGACGGAGCTTCCAGTACTTGTTGCACATCGAACGTCTTCTCTCTGCATCTGCTCGGTTGTGCTGATCTGGCTCCGGTGGACACGACGAACAAGTTCCCACTTGTCAATGTCAGAGGCATGCTGGGCGCAAGGTGTTGGAGTCCAACTTACATGTTAAGATTGTAGATGTTTTCGGCCACATGTCCATTTATCTGAACAGCATTGCCGCTGGAGACATTTCGGCTAACAGATGTCGTTGTCGCCATGATTTGTTTGTCCTCCAGAACACGGCTGGACGTAGACGTCGACAACATATTCGATACGCTCTCTGGAAAACATTAGCTGGGACGATCCTTCCTATGGGACTGATTCTACGCGCAGGCCTCAGCAATCGGGACGGAGGAAGGCTGTGAAGCTGTGATTGGAACGAGCATCTTGTCAGCCGGGCGGGGTACGAAAACGCCGTGACCGGTGTGCTGCGGACTGCATACAACTGCTCCAGGTTTGCTGGGTGGTGTTTCGCAGCCCTGTTCAAACTTGCAGATCCGGTCAACCCAGAGCGGCAAAGCGCATACTGAAGCGAGAGATTGCCCTGATATCGATGTATCAATAAGCGCTTCTGGGTTCATGAGCGAATCTTCGGCCTGCGCCCCCATCATCGTCTGCCTTGCCGCCAGGTTCGTATCACGCGCAATGCGCTTCGTACGGTCATCTTTTCCTTACCTCCTCACGCTGCGGCAACGATGAGCGACATTGATCGAGTGCGCCTCGGCTAGCGCTGCTCTCCGCAGCCGTCCAAACCCCGTTCGTGCGACAACAGTAAGCCCCACCCACATGCGGCCGACTGCTTCGACTGCGCATCATGAACCACTATGGTACACACCAGTTAGTCACCCAGCTGGTTGGCGATAGCCCAGGGAAGGCCATCGACATCCTCACAAGGTGTTGCGAAGACCCCAAGATCCTCGAAGAAGTAACTTCCTACCTTTTACAACCAAAGGCGAGGCAATACGGGACACCCACTCCTCCCGCGAACAGATTCGATATCACATTCGCGCCACCTCTTTCACCAACTTCACATAGTTCACATAACACTGGGACCCCACCTCCGCGCCAGAGGCTGCCCCGCCGCCTTTCATCAACGACTTATCCACTGAGCCCTCCTGGGACAGCATCATCGGTGACATCACACTCTACTAGAGATGGAGGCGGCTCGGGGGAGTACATTCTGCTTCCAACTTTCGTTGGAGGTAAAGTGGATGAACTGAGGGTCCGGATGAAGACCGCGCCGATCACATACAGCGTGATACGTGATGACGTTGTTGGCAAGCGAAATCTTGAGGATTCTTTCAGCCTGAGTCCGGCCGAAGTAGCACATGTTCAGGTGCCACATCGCGTATCGGGCGGAGTCCAAACAGTACCAGTGTCCTGGTCCATCGACCTGACATGGCGCCGACCTCATTCTGACTCGACGCACAGCACTGTGTTCTACTTGGTGCCTAAAGAAGTGCTGGACATTGATATGTGTCTCGGATACGATGACTCAGGCGATGCAAGCCCAGGTGTGTATATCGTGCAACGACTATCACGTTAGGCCATTTGGCTGATTAGATGCGATCTTTGGCTAGAATTCACACCAACCATAATCCCTCAACCGCAAGCTCGACAAGCACCTCATTTCCCTGAATACAAGCAGGAAATGCGTCCTCATGCGCCGACACCACCTTCAGCATCGTACCATCGTTCAGCGATGACCCAGAACGAATCCCACCGCGCAAGCCCCGTTTTCCATCAAGACGGGCAACACCACCCATATCATATCGTCGAGCCCTTCCTTGCCCGACAACAGTCATATGGCGCGGCAATGGGGGCCCACCAACCCTCGCCCGCCCATACCGTTTTGGGTTCGCACATCGAGCATCCACAGCCTCTCCGACCCAGCCCTGCGTCCGCAACCCCCGCCCGAGATACCGATCCCAACAAAGCTGCCGATAGAATCAGGTTGAGCCTCGTGTGGGACGCGACGACCCTGAATGTATGGCTAGATCTCAATGCGCACGGCGAGGCTTTCTACAAGGCCTTCCAACAGCAGGCTACAAAGCAGCGCAAGGACATACTAGATCGAGCAACGATGACGATATTGTTGAAGAAAGACAAGAGTATCCCCGACGAGGAGGCTTACGCACTTTCTCTGGACGAGGATGACTTGGAAGCGGACTGGGAGACGACTCTGGAATGGCTCGATGCGAATAGGAGAGATAAGTCGCCGCATATTTGCGGGGTGGTGGAGATGGACGATGGGTGAAGGGGCAACTACTCGCTCTGGGCTTTTGGTCCTGGAGTTGATGCCACAATACCTACGCCCAATGTTGCTTGACGTAACGAGCGACCTCAAAGAGACCGCCAGGGCTCTTGCCGTTCCCCGTACATGCGACCAAGGCTTGCACATCCTTACATCACATATTCACAACGAAAGAGGTGAGTGTCATGTGCTGGATTGAAACGAAGTTCGACGAGATCTAATCAGTTGTAGCACAAAGCAACGAGGCTCATGGCAAGGATGAGTCCTGTTACTGCACTGTTCAACACTGAACATGGCCATGGCTGTACTTTCCACGATTACATGTATCAAAGATCCGTAAAACCCATCTCCGCGGCGCGGAAGAGAAGCTGGGCGACGAGGTCGGATAATCGTCGCGCTTGGACACTCTGCCGGCACTGATCAAGCCCCAAAAGAACAATAGAGAATGCGATGCTATCTGTCTTAGTTCGCGCGATCAAGATCCAGCTCATGCTTCATAGATATACGGCGTTCTGCAACAAGAGTGGCACATATCCCGAAGCTGATATTTCATGTACGCTCGTCTAGTCAATCCTCTCAAATCCGTCCGTTGAACCATCTAGATGCTCGGGCACATCAAGCAGGACCATCGGCTTCTTCGGAGACGAAAACAGCTCCGACCATGCCGACGCCGTTGCAAGAACCCTTAGAACTCCACCCGACGTTCCGTCTGCTGCCTTGTTGAATGATCTCACGAGCTTTCTCATATTCTTCATGAAATCATCCATCTCGTCCCCCCACTTCTCATCGTAGAAGTCGACAGCGTCAATGAGGATGAAGATCGCTTTATACTCCTTCCGCAGCTCGCGTAACAGTCGCACCACCGCTATTGTGTATGTTTTGAAACACAGGTTTTCCATGTTCGCGACATCATCGTGGCTCAGAAAAGAAAGTAGAGGGAGTCCGTCCTCGTCTTTAGATCCGTGCGCGTCGCATGAAGCGAGCAGTTGTATGAAGAAGGCTCGTAGCATGAGTGCTGGCCCAGAGCGTACACTGCTGAGCCCACAAAAGAATGGAAGGACAAGTGTGCGCGGCGTGCTTTCCAGTTTCTCGTAAAGAAGCGCTATCAGGAAACTCAGCGGAGAAGTGTTCTCGAGCTCGCCGTGTCCCTGGATACACAGTATCTGAGACTTGCCTCTGCCGCCTAGCCAATTCTGGAACTCGGTTGTGTTCCCCACCCAGCCTGCGCGGTTCTGATATCTTGTCCGACTGTTCAGCCCGTCCTTGAGCACCGTGGAGAGCTCTGCTACATGTGTATGCTCGGAGTAATTCAGCTCCAGCTCCTTCATAAGATGCTCTGGAGTGACTGCCGTCTTTACGACTCGATCTTCAAGCTCGCTTATCCTTCGCTCTACGCGCGGGTCAGTTTGCTGCACATGGCAGACGTGCTCCAACTTACTGTCGCTTGCTGCGCTCAGTCGTTGCTGTTTCAATTCTTCAGTGAGTTTTTTCAACTCGTTGTTCCCTTCTCAACGTCAGCCACACGCCGATACGATTAGGAAGACTTGTGGCTTACACTGAGCATTCTTGATCACGTCATCGAGATGATCCTTGAGGGCGTTGAAGCCATCGCTGACTTGTCCACTGACTTTTTCGACGTGTTCGTCGACGCGGTGTATGTCTTCGTGCATTTCATGGGTCCGAGAATCGATCTCCATTGCTGTTAAAAGTGTGGCTTTCTGACACCAAGCTAGGTATAACCGGGTTTCTTCTAGGAAGAGGCTCTTGGACTGTCGGATGCTGTCGACACACTTATCGATCCCTTTTGCGTAGTTCTTGTTCTTCGATAGACTGTCTTTGGCATGTTCTATATAGATCAGTACAAGACCTGCGCTCTAGATGTATGTTCGGCAGTGTAGGTAGACCCGACTTACTCCAGGAAGACTGCTTATACCAGTCAATGATGTTTACCAGTGCTATGAGAAGACTGGTGTAAATACCGTTCACACACAGCTGTATGGTATTAAACCCCGGATAGAGCGTCTGGTACTGCTCGCACTTGTTCACGATATCTGGGACCTCTTGTAGCAGATCTGCCATCTTCTGGCGGACTTGAGAGTGACCTGTCATAGCCTACCCAACTGTCAGCCTTTGGATACATACGTACATGGCATTACGAACAGTCAAGATCAGTGTCAGTCCTCCGCACAGAGTTTTGTACTGCCCGTCTGGTAAAAGGCCGATGAAAGCCTGGATAGACTCTGCCTTGTCTCCAACAGTGTGAAATTTACTGCGAATGAGGTCCCATGTCGTCTCTTTTTTGTTGTATTGTTTCACCACGTCCTGGAGGAGATCAGTGATCTCTTGCCAATCATGGCAAGAGTCGAGATCAAAGCTTGCTATCTTCTCATCCTTGGACATCTCCTCCTTCAAGGCCAAAAGGGCGTTAGAGAAGCTTGTTGTGGTCGCAACTACTCTCAGTTTGCTCTTTCGCAATTCCTCGTCGCTAGTTGAAGGTGCTCCATTCAACGCGACCGGGCGGTCTACAAACCTTTGACGGCTCGTGTCAAAAGTGACTGGTAGTTCTCCGCGCTCATCGCGGAATCCATCATGTCGATTTTCGATATAGTCAACTGAAATGGGCTGTGTGGATGGACAAGGAAATCCGGCTTCGACCCGTTGGTTGGTCGACATGGCTCCTTCGAAGAAGCGCGGAACTTACTGCAAAGGCTTCCCAATCTATGGTAGACAGAAGCGCAATTGATGTAATCGCGAAGTCATAGAATGCTTTCCCAACATCCAGAAGTGGGCACCGACAGCTACCCAATTTTTGAGACAAAGCTGAAGGCTTCATGCTGACACGCATACCTAGATAGGCATGTGCATTACCAATGGAATAAGCAGATAGCACACCCATAGCCATGCAGCTCGCTTCAATCAGGTATTTCCGGTGACTGCGTTCAGCTCACAATGCCTAGATTCGATACGCCCGCCATGCGGGGGCCACGTAGCTCCGCATTGTCGATGTTTAACAACCTGGTCCTACCTGATCTCGTAATAGGTCTTAGACGAATTTCATATGGTGAGTAATCCATGCATACGTTGCAACCAATTGCAAGTTCTGTGACTACTTAGGTGTGAACGTGGACGACCTGTCGGGAGCGCCAGAGCGCGACCTCGCGAGTGCAGCGGCTGTACCCACCCGCTAACATCCTGGCACCCTGCGAACCGGCTCGTATCATCAGTGCATGCTACCGCGTCACGATAAGCTGAGTATTACGTGCCGGCTGAACTTCAGCTTGATTTTTCTCAAGACGCGTATTGTGCATCGTCAAGCGAACACTTGCAGCCCGCCCGGACTTTGCTAAATCGTATTGAGGCGCTCGACGAGAGGCTGTTCGGGCCGTGACAACGTCTGCGAGATTCCTGTCGTTCCACGCGCCTCTTCGGCATCCCGAGGCTGTCGCGGAATCGAAGGATTTATGATCGGTCAGTGGTTTTGGGGGGCTGGACAAAGTTGCGCGGGATAGGCAGGTAGGTGTCAGCTAGACCACCATCGATTGGACTGACCTTGGAAACCTAGGAGGGTCCATGCAAGTCGCAGGTGCAGGTGCGGGTGCATGCCGCCATTTGGACCCCATCTTCTAAAAGTAATTGCATCAATCAATGACTTGGATCACAGCCATACGTGCCTAAGAGAATGAGTGGGCCTGACAAGGATAGGCATTCCTCATACTTATCTGTTGCAATGTTGTTCAGCCGCAATCCACTCATTCCCAAGGTATTTGGGGGGGGGGAATGCCTGCACTCCAAGGTAAGCTTGCTCTAGATGCTGTCGCACATTTTGTCCTACCATTTTGGAGATCACGGATTGTCAGCACGGGGTCTAACTCGTATATGATAGACACGAGGGCAGATCTGGTTAGAAAACTACCGCTACTATGTCTGGTTCTGATGATTCCGGAATCGCGCTCTCCGTGAGCCACGAGCGCAATATTCCCAGTACGTCTCATCGCTGCACATATCTTGACGATTACTGATAACATGATAGATGGAGAGTCAACATCAGAAGAGGCCACGATGATGCTTCCAGGTGAACTAGAGAGTTCCAAGAGCGATTCAGTGCCTGCCAATGTTGCCGAACACCCAGCAATACCGGCTCCAGAAACGGCAGCTACTGAGTCACATCCCCCCAGCGTCAAGCCCGAAACGGACTGCGCTGGTGGCCAAGCGAATCAATCTGTCGATGCCAAAGATCCTGACACGGGGTCAGATGCAGAGAGTGTCAGTAGTGGCTCTGATGTCAACGATCACATCGAGCGTTGGAGGCGCAGACGCGACGACATGGAGGAACGAATCAAGCTTGGGCCAAAACGCGTGAGGCAGGCCAATCAATACAACAAGATCTTGGAAGAGCGACTTGCGCTTCTAGAAGAGAGTACCACCCTCTTTGAACAGAAGCTGCGAAGGCTAATAGAAGGAGAGGAAGTACCTCTTCCACCGCCTACGCCCGTGAAAGACACAAGGCGCATGTTGGAGCCTGAGCTGAAATTCCGCCTGTCGAAGGATCTGAAGCATGACGAAGATGAAAAGCTAACTCATCAAATCGATGTCTTCGTGGGAGACTCAGAGGTACCGAAAGCCGACAGGTTTCTACGACGAAAAAGGGAATCAAAGACTGCGGGAGACGACTATCTGAATGATGGGGCGAGTCTCCCCGACCCGACCTTGGAACACTCGTCGGCATCCAGTGATGAGCGTAGATTTATGGAAGAGATGGCTAAGCTCAAGAGCAAACACCTTCCGAGCCGAATTCGTTTGAACGAAAGCTCGATCACCCACCTGTTCCGGAAGTTTTTCACAGGCGACGGTTCGGATGTGGACAATGTCATTCTGCGACCCTTCAAGCCCTTACTGCACAATAGGGAAGAGATCTTCAACATCATGTCGGACGTAGTTACTGCACTGACTAATATGATAAAACATCGGGCAGAGAAGGAAGCAGCGCCGGCCAGTCGTCCCACAGATCTGGACGAAAAGTCCGAAACAGTCCAGCCAGACGAAGCCCAGCCTAAGGATGCCCAGCCTAAGGATGTCCAGCGCGATGGTGTTCAGTCCAAGGAATCTGGTGAGGCGACAAGTAACCCTCAAGGCGAAGACGAGGAGAAGGTACTTGCTGAGGAGCGCACTGCTCCCGACGCCATCTCATCTGACGAGTGGAACACTGTTCTGACCGAGCTCGAACTCTTTGACGAGAACAACGGGTGCAATGGGAGTGAACTGGACGGATGGCCAACTCTGTCCGAAGTCGAGAAATCTTTCAAGTGCATCAAGGACCTCTTCGACAACTACCTACTGCCTAGCCATGTGGACTTTCGGGAGCGCAAGGCGAAGAAGGTGCGCTTCTGTGACCTATGGCACCTCTTCCACACTGGAGACCTCGTGGTAACGAAGCGCTCGACGAATCTAGATGGGACAGAAAGTCAAGCTCGATTGGGCATGAGGGTTCTCATGACATCTGGTGGTCGAAGAGTCATCATGCCAAAACTCCCGGCTCCTGTCTTTCAATCTCCTGTCCACTTGCTTGAACCCACGGACAAAATCGAGGCCATTAACGGCATCAATCCATTCTGTATTTACGCATATTACTTGGATTTCAATGGCTCTAGGCTGGTCCCTGTCCGGCGACGAATGATCATTGCCCCATACCACGGAGAGCGAAACATGCTCGACCTCGACGTCATCCCCATGGAGTATACTGCCGGGGTAGCTGACATGCTGGAAGAGAGGGGAAAAAGATTCATCGAGTCAGTCACAGCTCCCATTGCGCCGTACGTGGATTGCAAGGGCCTCGAGCTTGTCACTCGCGAGGAACTTAACGACAAGGTCATCGTTGACATGAAAGGGTATTTCGGCACCAATTCTGGCGACATACCTTCGTTCCGGGAACCCGAAGAGGTCGACTTGTCGGAGACCAGCAATTGCCGTCAAGGAATGGAATGTAGCTACTTGTGTTCTACCTGTTACCATCGGACTTCAGTCGTGCATGATCAGGTGACGGACCTGGAAGCTTATCAGGAGTACATCGACGATAAGCCGGTATTCAACCCACTGTCAGGCACGTCAAATGCTGGCCCAATAGACCCGTCTGACTTCACCATTTGTCACTACCGCGTCTTCGCTTACAAACTCCGTTCGCGTGAGTGGGGTACGTATTCAGTCCATCCATTTTACGTATCAGTACCGTGCTGACAGTCAATAGTGCAAGTGAATGTGAAGGACCTCGAAAAGCCACCGGAGACTGAGAAGGGTAGGGGATTCGATAAGCTCGTCTTATCTGAAGACCACAAGCATATCCTTGAGTCTCAGGTACGTGAGCACTTCCGAAAGAGGGTATCGCAAGCTGCCACGGGAAGTACGGAGAACGACATGGATCTAGTTCGGGGAAAAGGTCAAGGTCTCATCATCCTTCTTCACGGTACGTACTACCTTCCAGCGTTGTCAAATCCTCTCGCTGATGAACTTCAGGGGCTCCCGGTGTCGGCAAAACATGTACAGCCGAATGTATTGCGGACCTGGTGGAGAAGCCGCTCTATCCCATCACATGCGGTGATTTGGGAAGCTCGGCGAATGACGTCGAAGCCAACTTGAAGAAACACTTCACACTTGCCAGCCGATGGGATTGCGTGATGCTACTAGACGAAGCAGACGTCTTCCTAGCGAAGAGGGTGCTCGAAGACCTCCAGCGTAATAGCATCGTATCGGTCTTCCTTCGCATGTTGGAGTACTATAAAGGCCTGCTCTTCTTGACTACCAATCGGGTGGGCACATTCGATGAGGCATTCACCTCTCGCGTGCACATCTCACTGTTCTGTAAGTGGTTACTCAGTACGCTCTAACCATGGTACTAACACCAATGCTTCAGACCCCGACTTCGATAAGGAGACTACGCTCAAAGTGTGGAGAACCTTCATCAATCAAACCAGACACGTGCTGGCAAGCAATGGCCGTAGTAACTTCGATATCGCTGAAGATGAGATCATGAAATTCGCCGAGAAGCACTACGATAGAAACGAGCAAGCAAGTTGGAACGGCCGACAAATCCGGAATGCTTTCCACACTGCCGTAGCCATGGCTGAATTCGGTGCTCGGAACAAGAAGACCGACGGAAGCTACGACGACCTTCAGGATCCGACAATCAAAGTGGGGAAAGCAGAGTTCAAAAAGATCGCCAAGACTGCAGAGGAGTTTGAGGAATACATGGAGGATACGATGAACGGAACCTTCCGCACCAAAGCATACAAAGCGGGTCTCAGAAAGGATCAGAAGGTGAAGAGAGAGAAGCCTAAGGAGAAGACGGCAAAGAAGAAGAAGAAGCCGTCCAAATCGAAGAAGAAGAGCGAGTCGAGCTCGGGTAGCGAGAGTGAGGACGACGATGACTCTGATAGTGATTAGTAGGCTGGAAGATGGGACCCGACTCTGGACACTCTTTTGTATAATGACTTCCTAATGTCAATTGGTTTTCTTCGCATTACATGTCGCACCTTGTGAATAAAATGAACGATCGATGTAAGGCCTTGCGCAATGATGCCGATGGAAGGAGGATATGCCTATGCGCGTCCACGGCCGTGCTTGTGTGCTTGGGGCGTGGTCCTAGCGTCCCACGTCATCTCTCCCACCTGCCGAGGCATCGCGTCGCACGCGCACCTCAACTCCATTAATCACTCTGCATAACCACACATCACATCACAGACCCGGTATGAACTATATTCGAGATGCATTAGATTATGCCATTATCGCGACGCTATATACGCCTACGCAGAGCTAGTAGCTGAGGCGATAGGCAGACTAACCGGCATGGGAGTACCGGAAGCCGAAGCTGTTGACGATGAGCCGCCGCCACTGCCACCACCACCACCATTCTTCTTCTGGACGACCGCGGATACGACTTGACCAGCGGTGTTGGTCACGATGTCGACGAGCGCGTTGAGAGGCTCGTAGTTGAAGGTCTTTTGTGTCATTCCCTGGCCAACCTGCTTTGCGCTTCCAGCGACTTCGGTCATGTTGAGCTGTATCTCAGGTTAGACGTTGAAAAAGGCTATGGTATACGGGTATGCTTACCTTGAAGTTTCCAACGATCTGCTGGAGGGCGTCTCCGCCGCTTCCTACGACCTCTTGGACGATGTTACCGAGGTTGTCGACCAAGAAGTTGAGCGTCTTTCCGTTTTGCGTGATCGATCCAAGCTATATGCTGTTAGTTCCTTTCTGACATTAAACCATTCGGATACTTACAAGGCCGTCGACTGCACCGATCACTTCTCCAACCAAGTTGGTGACGTTTCCGATCAAACCAATCAAGAGAGGATTCAGGTCCAAAGAGTCAAAGACACGCTCAACGATAGAGACCAGGTTGCCCAATCGTACAATCAACTCGAGTTCAACATCTACATCAGCAATTGTGATGTTGACCTTCTCCACGGCGACCTGGACACCAGCATTGATCTGGACAAGACCGGCGACCTTGGCGTTGAGGTTAAGATCTGCCTGAAGCTTCTCGACACCTAGCTCAATCCTTCCAACGTGCAGTTCAGGGACGCGGAGAAGCACGTCTGGTGGCGAAGATCCAGTAGGCGCAACCTCTGGTGGTCTGGTAGTAGTTCCGTTGCCTTGCGGTGGGGTGCTGCTTGTAGGTGCCGGGGTCGAAGGAGCCCCAGATTCCGATTGCGCAGAAATGACTGTAGCGAAAGTAAGGAAGATGCTGATGAGCAGTAGGCGGATAGAGAACGACATGTTGGCGTGAGCGGCGACGACAGCAACAACAACGGCAATAGTAACGAGCGAGACAGCCGTACAAGTATCAGCAAACCACGACCCACGTACCGGTTATAGCGAAGGAATCCCGTTGCAAATCAGCGGGCACGGCAATCATGCACATGGAGTATTGCAAGGATTCCCATAATGGTAATCTCGGGTAAAGCCCCCTATGCAGCCGCGCAGGGGTTCCTGCAAGGCTGGATCGCACCATCTGGAGCAGTGCTAAGGCATGAACATGTAGAAATCCTGATTCCGCATACGAACTGCCGGTTTTTTGGATTTTCTATCGAATCGCAGGTGTGGGAATGGATCTCCTTAATTTCCGTTTTTCTTGCTAGCGTAGGTGGATGACGGGTAATGGAAGATGGTGCTATGCACATGATCCTTGTAAGCAACTCACTACTACTCCACCCGATGGTAGTGTTAACCGTTGCGCCCGCCCGTCTTTCTTGTCGATTGACGACATCCATTGAGTTGTTGCTTCCTGTCCTTCGCTCTTTGTTCAGCAGCACGTCGACTTTCGGCCAGTCTCTCTTTCAGCACCAGTCAAGATGTTGTCGATACTACCTACCATTACACTCCTTTCGCTGCCTTTCCTCGCTGTCTGCCAATCTGCATCCGATGGCTACAGTGGTTACAAGCTCGATGTGCGAGATGACGGCGACCCATCCGCCGTCCTCTACGAAACAGAAAACACATCCTCATCCAACATCTCCGCCTTGAGCCCCGTCCCAGACGTCCTCCTCAACGCCTCCGTTCACGTCGGCGAGATCTTCATCGGCGTCGACAACCTGACCGCAAAAATCAACCTCGACGCCCAGGTCCTCCAGTTGCTGCAGTTCAACGCCGGAGTCGACCTGTCCATCGACAAAGTCACCCTCCTAATCCAAAACGTCACGGCAAAGGTCTACCTCGAAGCCCGCCTGGGTAACCTCGTCAACATGGTCAGCGACGTTCTCGACAGCATCGATCTGAACCCCGTGATCGCCGAGCTAGGAAACGGTCTTGGCTCCATCATCAACGACACCGCCGGTCTCGTTGGCGACGTCGCCGGTGGCCTCACTGGTGGAGGCAACGACACCTCTGCTCAAGCCAAAGCGAAACGCGACCTCGACTTTCACCAATGGGACCTCCGCAACAACATTCTCTACTCCATCAACAACTTTGAAGGCAACACCAACAAACGCCGTGTCCTCGCTCAAAACGGCGATATCGTAGAGCAAGTCCTCGATAACTCTGGTACCATCTCCTCAACTAATGTTGTGGGTGATTACCTCAAGAGCATGAGATTCAACGGGTTCAACGAGAGTGTTACCTACAAGGGCGAGGAAGTCTGGGAGGAAGAATACGTGTACGAGCCTTTTATGGGTCTGTACTCTATTTCTGGCGTGTTCAAGAGTAAGAGTAATGGAGAGGTGGTTGGTACGCAACTTCTGGCTGAGGCGAGAGGGGGCGGGAGCGCGAGTATTGGGAATGAGAAGGCGTAGGTCTTTTGATACCCACTAGCACAATTATTCAGAGTGTTTTGCGAATGGAATATGTAATGTCTGAACTCTTGTGCAATCGTGCTCTCTATGCATACCCGTCCAATGACTCTACCACATCAATCCATCCCGATCACATTTCTGCTTTTCCCACGCATGCACGCTTCTCTCATCTCGCTCTGCATACATACATGCACCAAAACAAATTCAACGGCGGACTAGCACCAGCCACCGCCAAGTCTTAGTTCACGCAACGGTTAAAGTCCCATGAACAATCGCGTGGTCCGTTTCACCCAGACGTCCGTGCGAGCACGCGATGGTCAGGAACCGAGATTTGACATGCACCATGCAGTCGGATATGCCAGGAAAAGGCCTCTGGGGCCTAACGGTCGAGATCTGTGATCTGAGCTTTTTGGATCGACGATGATGTCACGGGGGACTGGAGTCATGGACTAATGCGATCTTATTCCGTGGGATATGGCGGGGTGCGAGCATGGAAGATGTTGATGGAGATGCAGTGTTTAGTGCTGCATGGGTGGTTTGCTTCGGCCAAAGCGATGGATGACGGGGAAGGTAAGAGATGAGGGGTGGGTGGGATGGAAGAAGTGTGCAAAGGATAGAATTTCAGAACTACTTCATTGTCACTTCCTTCCATTCGTCGTTAAAACGCACCTAACGCCATGCCATGCTGTTACTTCGAGATGAGATGAGAGTTTTCCGTACCGATTCTTAACGCCACATAATGCTCAAGACGATTTGTTTCCTTCTCTTCATACAGCACCTAGATCCTACCCCTCAAGCCTGCCCATCATATTCTTCCTAACCTTAGTATTGACCACTCCTCCCACTCCAAACGCTGGCACAATCCGGCAAATCCTCGCCGCAGCACTCTTCGCCCAATCCCTCAGCACGCGCCCCGCCCTGCCATCCACACCACCAACCCTAGCCTCAGGCCTGTTGTACAAATCCAGACCGAGCAAATGCAACGGCGTGCTCACGAGCTGCACAGCAGCAGGCGTAACGAATTGCGCTACACTGAGCGCACCAACGTACTTCTTGACTTCCGTGCCCATGCGCTCGTCTACCTTGGGCGCAAGCAGCGGTGGCAAGTTGAACGAAGCGAAAATAGTAAGGCAGTCGCGGACGGTGAAGAGCGCGAACGTGGGCAGAGGAACAGGTCGTGGCGACGACCCGGGCGCAGCGAAGAGCCTCGTGAACTGGTTGTCTTTATACAGACACAGCGCCAGATTTGTTGTACTCGTAGCGAGGAACTTGCTTGTCCCGCTCGTTTGCTCTTGTAAGCCTTGCGTGGGCTTTACGGTCGCGGACGCCGTGTCGATGCTGTTGGCTGTGAAGTATGTACCGAAGTATAGACTGAAAATCAGGACGAAGGGTTTGCTACCGAGGAAGCGGTGCGGTTTCGCGAGGAGTTCGATTGCGCTCTTTTTCAGACTCTCGCCGAGACTGTTACGCCCGCTGGCGTTTTCGATGATGCCTTTGTCGATCATGGTTATGATGGGTGCGACGAGTATGCCTGCGGAGCCGGCAGAGAGGGCGTCGACGCCGATGCGTAGACCGAGTTTGGATGTGTCCCATTCGTGGGATGTTTCGGTCGAGGTGCTGGGTTTGCGCATCGTGGGGAGCGGTAGGTTTGGCTTGGGGATCGCGATGGAGGGTGTTGCGACTTTGGGTACGGTGGTTTGGTCTCTGTGCTCGTTGGCTGCGTGCGGTTTCATACCGCTGGCTTGTTCTTCCCCCATTGCAGCTTCCTCCGGTGACTGATAAACTCTCTCTTTGTGTGCTGCATGGAATGCTTGAAGTTTTGACGGTGCGTTTTTCGCGGGCGCTTCACGCTTTACGACTCTTTCGACAGTTTGCCCGCGGTTTGGACCAGGGCGACAGAGGTGTCGTAAGTGTACAACACAGGACAGGCTGTTGTTGAGGGATTTGATACAAGCCGCTGACGAAGATATCGGAGTTTACCTGAAAGTTCGCCGGCGAACAAACACCGACGTCGGAGCAAGAGCCGCCGAACGGGTATCACGCGCATTGATTGGTGCACGTCATCGGGCCCTGCATCGTTCGTCGCTCATAGCCATGTTCACGATGGGTAGCATCGGCTGAGACATGTGGGTGTTTACTGCATGGCATGAGGAATTAAATGCAGGGTCCAGCGTGGGGAGCTGGCCACGACTGACGATCCGGGGTATGGTGGGTTGGGACACAACACTTGCTCTCTCGCTAGGTGCACAGTCTGAGTACGTGATGACGGAAAGTTCTTGAGGAACTGATAACTGAAGGGCAGGATTCATTTGTCAAAACTTATCGGACAAGTCATGATAACTTCGTTTTTGCAACCAGGGCATGTCTACTCAACAAGCAACTCACGACTCATGCTGTTTGTATCTCCCGGGTTGGTAGGCTATCGCGGCTGCGAGACGAGCAAGTTAGCCGAAGCCATTTTCCGAAGAATACCGATGTCGTAAGTATCTAGTTGATGGCGTCAACTAGCGACCGGTGATGTGTACTGGGAATGCGGAGATGGGGTGAGGAGTGGAGGCGGTGTGAGATAGCTGTAACAGAGCGACCAGGTGATGCGCATGCGACGGTCGGTCTGACCCTTGACTAGTGTGGTAGTCATGAACATAGTATTCGCCTCGAAAGCTATCTTAGTCTTCCCAACAATTCGCTTGCATGTGATGCGCCTAAACTCCAATACACCCTAGGAACCCCGCAAGGGATTGTTGTCTGTATCTCAATTCCTCAGAGCACGCAGCCTCTCGGTAAATGCCTCTTCTTCTTGCTCGGTGGGCCCAACCTTCGTCTTTGCCGGTGTGGCTTCTTGGAGATCTTGTTGTAGATCTACGCCTGCCTTGTCTGCCGCCTGCGCCATCAGACGGTCTACGTCCTCTTGTGGTGTACCGACTGCGGTCGCGGAGGAGGTAATGTCCTGGTAGAGTTCGGTGGCGGAGTCTACGTTTTCGAACTGCTTCTCGAAATCGACCATGACCGAGGCGATCTAGGTATTGTCAGCGCGGTCCCGATCCCAACAGCTTTGGGTGTCGCATACCCTCTCGGGACTCATAGACTTCATAGCTACGTCTAGACTCCGGTTGACCTTCATCATGTTGCCTGTAATCTGTCGCATCGTGACGGCGGTTTGTACGCGGCCTGCGACGGCATCGACGCGCGAGGCGAGTTGTAGCAGGTTGAGCTTCTCATTCTGCTTGCGAATGGCGTTTCCGGCGTATATGCGGGCGATGTCGTTGTGGCCCTGCTTCATAGCCTGAGATGGTGTTAATACGCGTCCTTGCGCTGAAGAGACATGTTACCAACCTTCTCCAGCTTGGTCTTCTCAGCCTGCTCCTCCTTGCCAGCTTTGAGCGCCTGCCTGTTCAGCGACTTGGCCGTGAACTGAGGGGGGTCAGCGTATTCTAAGTCAGCGTCAACACGCAGTACTGACCTTGAGGTTGAAAAGCGCATTCTCGAGACCCGACATAGTGTATAGCTTGGAGGGTATGGGTTGTGGAGTTGTGCTATGGGTAGTGGTTCGGGAGATAGGCGGTAGTGGGCAGCGCTGTGGTGGGATGCGGCTACTGGCCACGCGGGGTGTGGGCCCAACCCCGACGTCATTGGCCGTGAAACACGGGCGCGCTTCTTGTTCTCGGCGCGCATTCACAAAGAAAAGAAGTGAGGAAATGGACTATGATAGTTGTCGTTGTGACACGTTCGATTTCGTGTCGCAGCCTCATGGGCCTTCATCGCCTTTGAATAACGCCTAAATCTATGCTGAAAACATGATGCATATGTGCCTGCCCGCACCCAGAATGCCTTTGATGTGTCCCTAATCTAAGCCAAACGCCTGCCTCACGCCTTCGCAATGCCCACGTAACGCCGTGCAACTCGAGCCATTATTCGTACAAGTCGTCCATGAGAGAAAACATCACTGCGCGGGTGGCGCGTTGAACTTGCTCGTTGCGTTCTTGAATAGCTCTTCTTGCGCAGCGATGAGCTGCTCCTCGGTCATGCCGCTCTGCTCGATCTTGGTCTGCTTCTTTTCGCGATTCTGCCCCGCGTTAGCTGGTGGTCGCGTCACATGCGCCGTCGCAAACGTACCTGCTGCTGCTTCTTGTAGTCTTGCGCGACCTCGAGAATGGCTGGGACGTAGTCGCCAAAATCTAGCTCTTCCAGGGCAGCCTTGACATGTTCGCAAGCTATTGTCTTTTTCGCGTCCTTTTCGGCGATCTCGTTGGCTTCGGAGGAGATGAGGGTGATGAACTCAACGCAGCACTCGATTAGAAGGTCGCGCGAATCCTTTGCAAAGGTCATGCCAGGCTCGCTGGCCAGGATGTCTTGGACAATCTTTTGGACGGTCGCTGGCGCGTATTAGCATTTACGGGGGATGCGAGTCTAGAAATGCCGACCTTTGGGCAGCGACAAGTCGTCGTTGCCGCCGAATTCGCGGTCAGACATGGTGGGTGGATGCGCGGCAGCGTGTGGTGTTGGCTTTGAGCTTCGGTACTGCGCGCGGTTGCAGCCCTGCTAAGTAAGAAATGCAGAGAGGCCGGGGCACGGGCCGGCTGTTTGGCCGAAGACCCTTTGCCTAGGTATCTGGCATCATCGAGCGTTCACTGTGTAACCACGGCAGTCACCCAAGATACAGCCATGATGCACGAGGCTTACTGGGTAACGCGAGTTTGCGATGAGTGATGTGTGTCTCTACCAAATCGCGCCCCGACGTTCCCCATTTTTATCTTATCCGCGTCATATCTTCCAAAAGGAGCACACGTACAGCTTACTAACAGATCTAGGTGCAACCAGCAACAAAGGATATAGAGTTCTTCCTATTGACACGCTGGGCTGTGTTTGCTCGAGTCAGCCGCAGCCTTCACATGCGTCCAGTCACGGTACCGGTGTTGCTCGATAGCGACAGTGTATCCAGGGCGGCGGGCGCTATCGCAGTGCTATCGGGCCATATGTCGCTAACGTCGCAGTGGCATCACGGGTGGATCGTTGAGGCTTTTCTTCAAACGACAGGCTTGGAGCTTGATGCAGGCGCTGGCTTGAGCATTGATGTGAGGGTATTCGTGCTCCACCGGCGACGGGCGTGTGGAGGCGGTGATTGGCAGTAGTTGGGTCGCGTTCCGAGATCTTAGCCAGGGACTGTATCTCTTCCCGGCCGGTTTGGGCGATGCCGGCCCAGTGGCATGTCGGCAGAAGCAGAGGCAGTGGATAACTACGTCAGCGCGTTGCACCTGCTTGGCGCACACAAATGCATGGCCGCGCGAAGTGTGGTTTTGGTTGACCTGGTCATGCTGCTCGCCGAGACAGATGACAGTGGCGGTGAAAACCGGAGGAGCCTAGGGGGACTGGAGGCGGCGCTGCTAGGTCGAGGGATGGTGCAATGCAATCGCGTTGAGAGGGATTGATACATAGCAAGGCCCGCAGTGAATTCCAGCGACAGTCAAGTCAGTGAGCTACACGGCGCCTGCCTATCTCGCCTGCCGGTGACGCTGCTATCATCCTCGAGTCGACGCCTACTGCTGCAGCGCCCCAGAGCTCCCACGGTCCCAGAGTACACGTCTACCCAGTACCGCTGTACACCGCCCGCAGCCCGCGCGCCTCAAGCCTGGAAGGACTCGGACTGCCTGCCCCGTTAAAGTCCTAGAGCAGAGTTTTCGCACAGTCGTTGCAGTGCGCTTGTTTAGGGCTAAGGCCGCTCGGAGCAGCCAGCCAGGACCCAAGTGATTATTATGACTTCACGCCCAACTGCGGACCCGGCAGACAGCTCGCTCTCGACCTCCCCCCAAAGCGACACGTACTCCAGCAGCCCGTCGCGCGCCAGCCTCAAGGAGACCGTCAAGATTGCGTCCACCCAAGGCCCCGCTGTCGATGCCAGCCAGCAACGTCCCGGACTAGTCTCTCGCGCCTCGGAGAGTTCAACCAGGACCATTCGACCCCGCCATCATCTACGCAACAAGAGCAGCAGTGTTGTTCCCACCGTCTCCACGCTCAACGTCGGCACCGCGCCCTCGACCCGCCAGTCCAAGTCGCACCCAAAATCAAACACCATGGCCCAGCACACCACGGGCACCTCGTCTGGCGCCGCCGACCTGCTTAGACAGGCCATGACACGGTAAGCGCATACTGACTGTCATGGTGATGCACCGCATTGCCACGCACCACACCACATCATCGCTTAGCTTGCAGCTGTGCAGAGTCCTGACGACGTGCACCCTCGTTCCTTCCCTACATTTTCTCTCACCACTCTCACCTTCCCATCCTCCCACACTCACCGCCACTTTCCTGATGCCCTCGTCATCACTGCTAACGCCGCACAGTGCCACCAACGACAGCAACGAAGACGGACACGATCAGATCGGCTCCACCAGCTCCACGCCACCGGGTGCCACGACACCCAAGCCCGACCCGACGGACAAGCGACTGCCGGGTATTCTGCACAGTTACTTTGGCCAGGTTCGTGATTCTCTTATGCCCTCGCGGAAGTCCTCCTCCACGGTCAACCCCTCCCCCGCACCCGTCACTTCTCAGGTCTCGGACCCCCGAGAGAAGGAGCAAGAGTCAACCACCCACCCCAGCATGCTGCCCAGCCCCGCCCCCAGTGCCTCTTCCCGAACTCCCTCAACCTCGCAGTTGGCTGGTGAAGCGGAGAAGCTAACGCAAGGCGATTTTGCGCCGTTGCAACAGGCTACACCTCCCCAGACACCGCGCACCCGCTCCCAAGAAGCAAAGCCAGTGCCCTCGAATCTATCCCGCACCTCAAATGCGTCCGACGAATCCAAGGAGAGCAAGACGGCTCCCGTAGTGGCGCCCAAGGGCAAGCTCTCAGTCACAATCTCCGAGGGACGGGGTCTGCGGCCCAGCACAGACCCCTACGTTGTCTGCCAATTCCAATGGGCTGAGTACATCTCAGACGGGCCCAGGCACGATGAGTCGAAGCGACCGCCCATGCAGATGAAGCGAACCGAGAGCCAGATGGGCACTCCAATGGCCATTCCTATGAAGAGCCGACAGAGCAGCAACAGCGGCCATAGCTCAGATCCCAGGGAGAACGGCTCCCTGGAGGAAGTGACGAGCCCCAAGTGGGAGCACGAAGCCATGTTGTGAGTAGCTCCTCCTCTTCCCCGTGTGCTGATGCTGACAATCGTAGTGACGTTGTGGGCGACCATGCCGAAATCGACGTCTCCGTTTACGACCGCGCCAACGGTGAGGCTTTCCTCGGCCACGTCCGCTTCTGCCCAAACCTCGTCGAATACAGCGAGCCATACGACGGCTGGTTCCCGCTAGAGCCCCGAGAGGGCGAGGGAGGTGTTGTTACCGGAGAGATTCACCTGAAGCTCAACTTCCAAAAGGTCGAGAAAAAGCACTACGGTCCCGAGGACTTTGAGATTCTCAAGCTCATCGGAAAGGGCACATTCGGTCAGGTCTTCCAAGTACGCAAGCGCGACACTCGCCGCATCTACGCCATGAAGGTGCTTTCCAAGAAGGTCATCGTGCAGAAGAAGGAGGTGGCACACACACTTGGAGAGCGCAACATCCTTGTCCGAACGGCCATGGCTGACTCGGCATTCATCGTTGGACTCAAGTTCTCTTTCCAGACACCCTCAGATCTATACTTCGTTACTGACTACATGTCGGGAGGCGAACTCTTCTGGCATCTCCAGAGGGAAGGCCGCTTCCAGGAGGGTCGTGCCAAGTTCTACATTGCAGAACTTATCCTTGCCCTGCAACATCTGCACGAGCACAACATCGTGTACCGCGATCTCAAGCCCGAGAACATCCTCTTGGACGCCAATGGCCACATCGCCCTTTGTGACTTCGGTCTGTCCAAGGCTAACCTCACCGAGAACGCCACCACCAACACATTCTGCGGAACCACAGAGTACCTTGCACCCGAGGTCCTTCTGGACGAACACGGTTACACCAAGATGGTCGATTTCTGGTCGCTCGGTGTGCTAGTCTTCGAGATGTGCTGTGGATGGAGTCCTTTCTACGCAGAAGACACCCAGCAAATGTACAAGAACATCGCGTTCGGAAAGGTCAGGTTCCCCCGGGACGCCCTCAGCACTGAAGGTAGGAATTTCGTCAAGGGACTTCTCAACAGGAACCCCAAGCACAGGCTTGGTGCCACACGCGATGCCGAGGAGCTCAAGGCTCACCCCTTCTTTGCCGACATCGACTGGGAGGCTCTGGGCAAGAAGAACGTGGTACCGCCATTCAAGCCCAAGCTCAAGGGAGAGCTCGACGTTTCCAACTTCGACCCCGAGTTTACTAATGCTCTCAACGGTGCTGGCTCTTTGAACGCCCGCGCAGCTGCCCTGGCCTCTGGTGTCAACCCCGCATCCACGCCACTGTCACCGACTATGCAAGCAAACTTTGCTGGCTTCACCTTTACCGACCAGAGTACAATGGAGCAGCAATTCGGCAACGACAGACAAAGGACCGACGCCCTGGAGCGAATGGACGAGGATGAGACAGACGAAGTCAACTGGGACCGACCTGCTGGACGTGGAGATAGAATGTCCGGCATCGTCCCAAGCAACGAGCACGATGTCTTCAACCAAGGCCAGTTCGATGTATGATGAGCACATGCTCACATACGCGCAGCCTGCTCTTCTCTATCTAGGTTCCTCCAGGACCTGACAAAAGTTTCTGCTTTGTTCTATCTTACCGGTACATGGCGGTACTATTCGTATAGTCTTTTCTTGGATACCCGGAGCCTACCACACAGGACTTGGACTGCGTTCAAGTCCTTCACTAATTTGCCCCATCGGCTGCTGCTGTCACGACCTCACGCATGGTCATTACGACACAGTCTATGCCGACAAGGACCTGACGCAGCGTCCGACTGATTACGATTACAAGATTTCCCAGAATGAGTTCAAGTTGCTGCGGTCTCCCACGCTACAGTAAACACGATGTTTTCTTTGCTGGGCTATGGGTTTGCATTGCGCTGGTGCATTGCTTTCGCTTTTTCATCCAATGTGGGAGTTCTTAATGGCACTATGTCGAGTTCAGGCTGTTTCTTCCCGTTCTTTGTGCATTATGCGCGCGTATCTGCACGGTTTTTCTCTTTTTCTTCTTTCTGCGAGTTCGGCATATATCTAACGACATGGATTCATACGCATCGTTATATCGAGGGGATATGGATCGAGTGGTATGATGGATATGGGCGAGCCTTTTTGTACATAAAGATATGAGACATCAAGTTTACCTGTTCACGTGGTCGTCTTCCTGTTGATGCACTCTTACTGTTGATGTCACGAAACGTATTTGTGTGTCTTCCTGTTCGTTCTATGCTAACCACCTCCTACCAGCCGTCGCTTCCTCCCCAGGTTCATCCCACACCTCCATCATATCCAACCACTCCAACGCAAATGCCCCCACAATCCTAGCCCAATCCCTCACCGTCGCCCCATCCAAATGCTCCCCATCATCCTCCATCGTGTGCCAAACCCCCGGAAACGGACTAGGGATTACATGCAATATCTCCACGCCCTTTGCCATAAACGGCAAATGGTCGTCTGATATGCCTCCATGCCCCATTGTCCCATTTACATCTGGCAAGAAGGGTGTGGATGGCGTGGATTCCAGCAGGTTCAAACTGCGCAGTCGGGACTCGATGGTGGAGAGGTGTACGTAGGCCCAATGTGTGGTGGGAAAGTAGGACGGAACGAGCGGGTCTGCGGAGCCGAGCAAGTCGAGGAGGAGGAACAGACTGATTTGCGAGAGGGGCGTGCGGTTTTGGTAGAATTTTGAGGCGGGGGACGGGGGGTTGAAGGTCGTGGACCAGTGGGTTGCTAGAGCCCTATATTCATGTACTGTTAGTATAACCATTCCATGGGAGTTTCCTCTTTCCTCTTTCCCCCGATATGAATTGAGAAGAGAGAAGGGAGAATCATACCTCGCCCCATACAGTGAATCACTATCACTCCAGTTCTCAAACGCCTCCTCGCCGTCCAAAAACACAATCTGGATACCCATATCCATATCCACGTCCCCGCCCTCCCCCAACGCACTCATCTCCTCGTACATCCGCGTTATATGCGGATCCAACACGCTGGCCACATACATCAACATCGCACACGGCGCCGCACTATCCGTCGCCCCGATAAACCCATCTGGATGCAATTTACTGTCATAATGCGCAACAAGCGTGAGCAAGTTCGCTTGTCCCGGCGCAACCCAAGGTGGTTCTCTCCGCGCGATTAGATTCGCGAAGGGGAGGGGCAACTTGGATGTGGGGGTCACGGAGGTGCTGTTTTGCCAGGTTAGGTTCCAGGCTGGTAGTTCTTTTGTGAAGTAGGCGTAGAGGTGGTTTTGGGCGAGGGTTTGGCCTGGGGTACCGGGGACGCGCGGGATCAGGAGGGGGGAGAGGAGGGCGCTGTTCTTTGCGGAGAGGGTGGTGTTGGGGGAGGGGAGGGCGCGGAGGAAGGCGTCTGAGAGCGGTTTGTAGGCGTGGGTTGGGTTGAGGGTGAGGAGGAGGGGGAGGAGTGTGGTGGGGAGCGTGAGGAGCATCGTGGGTTGGGGGTGGTGGGAGGAGATGGAGGAGCGCGTGCGGTGAGGAGTGTTGTGTACCAGAGGGTGTGTCTGGACGTTGAATGCGGCTTGGAATCGCGTCGTGTCGCTCGCTCGCACGGAAACGAGAACTGTCTTCGGGGTATGAACAAAGTCCAGGTAACCGTACGAGATCGAATCGGAAAGGATATGAAGACGAACAGCTAAGATCCCTCCTTCTAAAAGTGCCAGCCTCTTTCCTGTTCTCCTCAGTCCCCTTCCCGTTTCATCTCTCTCCCGCGGTCTCGAGTGAAACGTTTGCGCAAGTTGGCCCTACTCCATCAGGCAAACACCGAAGAGCCATGAAGCGCGGAGCTGAGCCATCGTGTTGCGTTGCGTGCGTCAGTCTGGTCCCTGACGGGGCGGAGGCGCGCGCATCCCTGTCGCGCACGTGAGCTGCACGTTCATCTTATCTGATTGATTAAGATGACGGATGGGGAACATGCTGTGGTGACGGAGGATCTAGCCGTTCTGGGTGGGGTGGAGGATATGCATGTCAAATGTCTGATTGAAGAGCTCAAGACGGTATGCACTTAGGTTTGGTCTTGGTATAGTTGATATATACTCATATTCATGTGAACTTTACACGTCCAGAGGCTTCAGCCAAGTACATCCTACCCTACAACTTCGCCTTCCCCCCTTCACACTTCACCAACGCCCTCCCGTTCGTAAGCACCGTCTTGCCCCCCTCAACCTTAACCACAAACCTCACCTCCTCAAATTCATCCTGATCCCTATCCCCCGTCCTCCACATCTCCGTAATCAGTTTATCACCCGGCTTAACCGGCGCCGCGAACCTCGCCTGGAACTCCTTGAGGTTCTCAGGCTTGGATGCGCCGAACGCCTTCAGAATAGCGTGGGCAGACATGTTCCATGAGAACAGGCCGTGGATGATGGGGCCGCCGAAACCCATTTTCTTGCCTGGCTCGGGGTCGGCGTGGAGAGGGTTGTAGTCGCCGTTTAGGCGGTAGAGGTGTGCGGTTTCCATGGTGGTTTGGTGGATGTGTGTGCTATCGGGAGCGCGGGACGGAGGGGGGTAGTTTGGTTGTTTGGGGCCTGTCGTGTGTTAGTCTTGTGTTATACTGCCGCGCGGGCTCCAGTACGAGCACGGCCAGGGTCAAAGAGATGGGAAAGACATACCCTTCGGACCACCCCAACCACCCTGACCAACGTAGAAGCCACTGCCTACAGCCCTGCTGTACGTCTCCCCCGTCTTCGCATCAACAAGCCTGTTCTCCGTCTCGACAACGGTTGCCTTGCCCTTGTCGTATACACCCAGCACCTTGCTCCTGATCTCGAACTTGCGGCCTTCGCTACTCACGGGCAGCGGCTTGAAGAATTGTATCTTGCGCTCGCCGTCAAGGACGTGCTTGGTGTCGAACTTGGGGACGCCTTCGATGGGCTCGGCATTGCTGCGCGCGTAGAAGTCGATGACTTCTTGGTCTGTGTGCTTGAAGGGGAGGATGATGGGGTAGGTTGGGAAGGCTGCGAAGGATGGGTGCAGTTCCTGGGGATGGTGTTAGAAGTGTCTTGGGTAGCTTGGTGTGTTGCGCATGGGCTGGATGCGTGAGCTGTGTGTGAGCTGTGATGGATTGACTTACGTAGAGGAAGTGCAGCTCATCCGGGTAGGTTGCGCCAATGCTGTTTGCGAAGAGCAGGAGATCGCGCTTGAGCCATGACACCTCATACGAGGGAAACTCGAAGCCGACGCCGGGACCCAATTCTTTGCCCATGATGAAGTTGGTGATGGTTACACAATGTGTTTGATACGAAAGGCTTGCGATGAACGATGCGCAATTGCAATGCTCAGATCAAGGAAAAAGAAGCTCAGATGTTGTCGTAAGCTTCAAGGTTCGCAGCGGGGCGGTAATCGCGACGCGGAGCTGAAGCTTGAGCCGAGGTACGATTCGTTCATCCATGGTCAAGACGAGAAACCCCCCAAATGGATTAGTATACATCAACCCTGTTCAAAGTAGATGAAAATGAGTCTTGGAATTCGGCGCCGATATCGCTATGGATAAGACTTTTACCTCGTTGTGGGACCGTGGTAATGTTGTAAACATCGCATTAGTCTATCTACAGTGTCGATGCCTCATTCAGAAGCCAATATTAAGATGGCACGACTCATGTCATGCCACCATGCAGATCTAGACAATATACATGTGATCCTTCCCATCCCTATCATCCATCGTAAATGTTCGTGTACCACGACTCCCACAACCCTGCGGTTGGCAAAGTGGGGCCACTGTCCCATACGCCAAATGTGAAATAATGCAACCTTTTGAGTCTAAGCTGAATCATGGAGATGACTCCCGCAAATGCTCAGAATGCAAGCGAAGGAAGAAATGAAGTTGTGGTGGGTATAATGCGGCAGACAAGGCGTCTACTGCTTGACTTCGTAGGAGCGGCGGAACATGCCGTCGACGCCGGTGAGGTAGTAGGTGCCGGGAACGATGGTGTCAACGCTTCCCTTGGGGGTGAAGTCCTTCTGGAGGTGAGCCTGCTCACGGAGGTTGCACATCTGGTAGAAATGTTAGTGGGATGTTCTGTAGTAATCTAGGATTCAAAGACTTACCTCGTCGTAAACCTCAGGGGCGACTACACGCCTCTTCTCGAGACGGTTTTGGATGTCGAGCTGCTTAGCAATGTTCTCGGTGCTGCCCTTGACGGTGAAGGAGAACAGAGATGAGGCCAGACCACTTCCGTAGCTGAACATACCAATGCGCTTGCCCTCGAGGTCCTGGCTGCTGATGTTGGCGAGCAAGCTGCACAAGCTACCGTAGACACTGCCGCAGTACATGTTACCGCACTGGGTCGGTACCTGAATGCTGGGCTGGACGCGAGCGGCGTAGCGCTTCTTAGCGAGACCCATGAAGGTCTTCTCTACGGTCTTGTCGCTGACAGAGGTAGCGTAGTCCATGTCGCGAAGCTCAGCGGGAACCTCGGCGAAGATGGGGTTGGAGGGGTTGGCGAGGTAGTCGTTGTAGAGCAGACGCGCGTACGACTTGGCGACGAGCTTGCAGGTAGGTGCGTGGAAGGCCATGTAGTCGAAGCGGTCGAGAGCAGTCTCGAGCTCGCTGCTGCCGTTTACGCCGTTTCCATTTTGTTGCGACTTGAGGGTCTTCTCGCGCTCGTTGTAGGCCTTGTAGCAGGCGTCGACAGCCTCGGTGTAGCAGCGGACGGAGAAGTGGCCGTCGACGACAGGGTATTCGCTGGTGAAGTCGGGCTTGTAGAAGTCGTAGGCGTGCCTGATGTAGGAGCCGCGCTGGCCAGCGTCCATGACAATGGGCGCGTTGGGGCCAATGAGCATGGCGACACATCCAGCGCCACCAGTCGGGCGAGCGTTGCCCTTCTTGTACAGCGCAATGTCTCCGGCGACCACGACGGCGTCACGGCCGTCCCAGGCCGACGACTCCATCCAGTTGACGGAGTTGAAGAGGGCGTTGGTTCCTCCGTAGCAGGCGTTGACGGTGTCAACACCCTCGATGTTGTAGTTGCCAGACTCCTCGAAGAGCTGCATGAGCACAGACTTGACCGACTTGGACTTGTCGAGCAGAGTCTCGGTGCCGACTTCGAGGCGGCCAATGCTCTTGGGGTCGACATTGTACTTCTTGAAGAGCGAGGTGACGGTGGTCAGGGCGAGCGAGTAGATGTCTGGGTGGAGCACCTGTCAGTTCCTCTTCGGGGTACACGGGGTCGCGCGAGCAGAAAATCTTGGACTCACCCTCACGGTCGTCGCAGAAGGACATCTTGGTCTGGCCGAGGCCAATGGTGTATTTGCCCTGGGAGACGCCATCGAACTTCTCGAGCTCGGCCTGGTCAACGCACTGTGGGCGACTTGTTAGTGCGTGTTGGTGTAGAGGGCGTAGTCGCAGCGGGCGCATGTGCATTGGGACGGCGACACCGCCCACGACAGCAACAACGTACCTGGCTGGGGAAGTAAAGCTCAATGGCCTTGATACCGATGTTGGAGGGACGAGCAGCCATGTTTGCAGGAGTGTATAGTGTTGTGTGAGGAGCAGAAAGGGAGTGTGTTGGCGAGGGAGGGGAGTTCACCGCCTTAAGTACTTGACGAGTAAATCCTACGCGACAATGGCAAGGTGCAGTTTAGTAGCGGCAATCAGTTTCGTGGCAATGCTAGCACGCCGTGGGTACAGGGCTCCAAAGGGGACAAGTAACGGGTTTTGTGCAGACCTAGCACTCAACAATCCTAACAGCGGCCCACGCGCTCCCAGTGTTGTGTCTGCTAGTCCCTGAGATTTTCGGTACATTCTTCTCGGGGCATTCAGGGTCTGGCTGCGAGGCCGGCGGCATGGCGGGGCATTCGTCTGGCGAAAAAGAAACGCCTGCATGCCGCCTTGCTCGCTTCGTCCCAGCTGCATGCTCTGCGAACCTATATCTTCACTTCACTTCATCGCGCCCCCAGCATCGTGAGTTGGCCCTTTTCCACCGGGCGGAGGACGTACGCCCTCGACGACCTATCGCCGTGCTCCTTGGCATGCAGGGATTTACTAGCTAGTCAGGAACCATCAGCCCATCACAACAAGTCCCCCCTAGCAACCTCATCCGCGATACTCGACAAATATGGCTACCTGCCTACCGTCCGGAACACAGCCTCCACAGCATGCGTAATGCCGCGTCACGATGCTGCGGTATCTGTGTTGGATGAGGATTGTAAGCTATCTGATAACATCGGACGAGAAGGCCGTCACTGCTTTGGACCCGAGTTGCCCATTGTGCTGAGGGCATCACACATCTCAGTAGGACTCGGCCGAAAATGAGGGTATTCGCGTTTAGCCAGGCTGCTGCCTAGATTCCCGCGGTCGCTATCCACGACCTACTTGGTGGGCGGGATGATTTTGATAGGTAGTAATCCACCGAGATCACTTGGCTTCTTCTATGGAAGGTGGTATCGTAAACGCATATAAATTCTAAGTTGAGCTTGCAGTCGAGTTCTCAGA